CTAATGATGCTATGAAGATCTTCTGTGATGTGGAAAATGGCTTTGGAGAGGCAAACTAAAATTTGCAGTAGCCTGTCACTGTTAAGAGGTTGTGTTCTTTAAAAGAATGTCATAAGGTGTCATATCATAAGGGATATTAAAAGCTCCACCACAGTAAGTAGAATTTTGATAGGTTTGCAGTGAAATCTTACAAAAGACTGAAAAGTATGTAAATATAGTTGAGGAATTTAATGTCCCAATATGTTCAGAGTAGTCAAATTTTTACTTTTTCCAAGTCTCACATAATTCAGTGGGTCTCCTTAAAGAAAACAAAGAAGACTCAAATGAATCCAAATAACATGTAAGTTAAAATGGAGGAAATTTTACCATTAACTTATTGATAAAGCTATTAAGGGAAAAATAAGTTTAGGTCTTCTAGAATAATTATGGCTTATAGATGTAAAAATAAAGGGGACATTAATAATAGGACAGAAAGAGGGGTAGAAAGAGAGGAAAAAGAAGGGAAAGAAGGAAGGAAGGAAAGAAGAAAGAAGAATATGGGAAAAATAAGAAAGAGGGAAAGGAAGATGGAGTAAGGTAGAGGAGAATAGAGAAAAGATAGTTATATGTTATTGTATTTTCACTATAAGAAGGTCAACCAAAAATTTAACCACAACTCCAAACCACTGATGAATTTAAAGCACATCCCCCCACCAATTAAATTTAAAATGATGAATTAGTCCCACCATATTTTGCAACAAATCAATTATTTTACAGTGCTGTAAGAGATGTTTTTCTGTCTTCATCTTGTTATATGGTCTCTGGTTGACTCATATGCTTGAAAGATTTTTGCCCATTTTATCCTCCTAAGTCAAATCTCATCACATCTCTTGATGGGCCACTAAATTTGTAGCAAGAATTCAAGGAGTATTTTACACTGACGACCACCACCCTTTCAGGATGTTAGGGACACATGCACATGCTACAACTGCTCTACTGTCTTTAATTTATGTCTCTTGAAGGGAAACAAATAGTAGGTATTAATTTTAGGATTAAGTACTTGCAAATTACCAGGTCAAACATTTATATGGACAAAAATATTCTTTTCAACTGAACTAAAGAGAAAACTCACATGAAAATTCTTTTCTCTTTAGGATTCTAATCAAAGTTGGTGTGACCTATAACCCAGGTTAGAACATTTCCTCTTAGAATCATCAAGTTTTAGGCTTCAGAGTTATGTCTGAGGTCAGACAGTTCCATGCTTCTAATTTGATAACAAAATTTTTTCCTGAGAACACTCACTATGATATTGTCAGTGACTGATGAGAACCCCAACTCTCAGCTTCTTAGCCAATGTGTTTACACTGTCTTGAGGCCTTGTTTTATGTGCTTCACATTCTGCCTTGACTACCAAACCCATAGGTGATTTTGATTTCTAAGACATTTAGGCCACATTGTAGGAATGACTAAGCTTATAGCATTTACCAACATTTTATATTTAAAGGGGTAATTCACAATAATAAATATTAACATATCCAGTAAAAGAGAATGAAATTGAATGAAAGCTTATGAAAGTTAATAATTACATAAGATTTATTTGAAATGCATCCCTGAGGTATTGTGGATCAAAAGAGTGAATTATAAGTGCCTATTAATCATTTCCTTTAGCTATTATTTGCTTACAATTGATTTATAAATACAATGCACTAATCTATAAAAGTAGTTAATAATCGGTATCTTATTCATTATGATATGCCAAGTGTATATTTTCATTTAATGACTATATTTTCTAAGATCACACAGTAATTTAAATGAAATTGTTTTAATTTCAAAGAATTTTTGGAATTAGCCTAAGCACATGGTGAAATGTTTTGCTATAAATGAGGCAAAAGGCAAGGGGAAAAGGGACTTCAGTGGTTAGCAATTACTAATATTTCAGATATCAGCTATTAGGTAGATGGATATCTAGAGACAACTTCTACTAGACTTTTTAGGTGTGACCATGTTACTAGGTTCTTGTCAAAAACAGGTGAGCACTCTTTGTACAGTGTCTTGATCACTTGATGACTTAAACCGGAAAATATTCTCCACAGCCTTAATATCATGAGTTAGATTATAGGTACCCTTACCTAAATAAATAGGCAAGAACAACATCCTAAGCTATGAAAGGACATCAAAGTAATGAATCGGTTCTTTTATACATGGGTGAAATCTTCAGTAGAGATTTCTTCCTTCCATAAGACATTTATATTAGAAATACACTGCTCTGTGACATGAAGCATGATAGTTGACCTCTCATTTTACTGAAGCTTATGCTGCAGAGTCTCATTTTACTCCAAGTGAGAGATTAAGGTACTTTCAACCAGGGAAAACCCATGAAGATGAAGAGTAGGGTACAAATTCTAGATATACAGGGTGGGGCAAAAGGAGCTTTACAGTTGTGAGTATGCAAAACACATTTTATTCTTTTATTATTATTTACTAATTATTGTGTTATTTTCCATATGAACAACTATAAACTACTTTTACTCCACCCTTTATTGTATAGCAATGCTGACAGATATTATTGGACAATTGTAAAAGAAAATAGATAAATGATGAATGTTTTTAACCTGGGAACCTGGAAAGACTGACTTGACTTTTAACTGATATAGGGACAATTTCAGGAGAACTGGTTCGGGTGAGGTAAAGCAGGAGATCACTTTCAAATATCAAATGCTTAAAATACATGTGAGCTCTGATTAGTGTGGCTCTGTTGATTGGGTGTCATCCTGTCCTGCAAAGTGAGAGGTCGCCAGTTCCCTTCCCTGTTAGGACACATGCTAGAGGCAACCAATTGACATTTCTCTCTCACATCAATGTTTGTTTCCCTCTGTTTCTCTCTCCCTCCCCCTCTCCAAAAATAAATAAATGAAATATTAAAATAAATAAAATAGCTCTGGCTGGTGTGGCTCTATGGATTGAGTGCCAGCCTGTGAACCAAATGGTCACCAGTTTGATTTCCAGTCTAGGGCACATGCCTGGGTTGAGGGCCAGGTCCCAGTAGGGGGCATTCAAGAGGCAACCACACATTGATGTTTCCCTCTCTTTCTCCCTCTTTCCCCCCCTCTAAAATAAATAAATAAAATCTTTAAAAATAAATAAATAAATAAAAATTATATGAAAAAATGTGAACATCCTAACATAGATAAAGAGATAGCAGAGATAGCAGTTGGACTTTTAAGTCTGGAGTACAGTATACATAAACATAAGAAAGGTAAATTTTTTAGTAATTGTCATACAAATAATTATTAAAACCATTTAATTGGGTGAGACCAAAAGAATAAGGTTGAAAACAAAGGTCATAAGCAAAGAAAACTGGTCCAATTCAAACCTAGATGCACATAAGCTTGAATGTGGTGTGGTCGTAATACATTTGAACATTCTTATATTGTTAAGTAATATGGTAAAGAAATAATCTTGATTTTTAAAAATGTTACTAAAATAAAAGAAATACGTTTGAATGTTTTCAATCAGAAGAAAAATGAAATAAAAAAACTTCATAAAAATAATTAAAATTTCAACTTTTGAAAATATAATAAAAAATAAAAATAAAAAACAGAAATAGAAACAGATAAAATTATCATAAAAACAATATATATCAGTTATCCTAGCAAATAAAATGTAAAAGATAATTTGTCAGGTAGAAGATAATTTGTAGAATTTATTTGCACATTCTGTAATGAACATATTCAAGAAGATATACATTTATGTTTTCATGATAGTTATTTTTAAATTGGATGTAATTTTTAATGTACCATATTAAAATGAATAAGAATTGCAAAGTTATCAGTAGCCCAATGTATCTTATTTATTTATCTCCTTAATTATACATTGAATACTGAAGTTAAATCTTTAGTTAGACATGTCATTAGGTTTATAAAAGGAAAAGAAAGTTTAATTTTTAATATATTTTTTAAATTAATGCAAAGCTGATTTAAACATGAACATTTGCTTTAATTAAGTTTTGCATTGACAAATTATTACTATAAAGTTTTTGTTCAAGGAGATCTGCTAATATCTTATTTTCTTGTGATAACAATTAATTGATGAATTTAAACTTGTAGATAATAGAGACTAAAAAATAATATAATGATCTTACATTCCAAGTTAATCGGTATTTTTTTGACAGAAAACTAAACCTTTGATTACAATGATTATAGGTTATGAGCATTAGCAACTTTTAAATTATAATGAATTAACACTTAATTTTAAGTTGATTAATTGTACTGTTAATTAAAAATTTCATAAAATTAATAATTTTTTTCTATATGTCATATTATTTTCTCTAAAACTGAGCTGTTTACCTTAAACATATTGCTACATTCTCTGCCCTTGAGAAAAATAATGACTTAATAGGTCTCTTTTGTTTGAAGCTAATATCCAGGGCTTTGCACTAAAGGCTCCCAAGAATACTTGTTGACTAAAGGTGGAACCTAAGTCACGATAATGTATATGTTCAATGGAAATTTGTAGACCTGTCCCAGTAAAATTAGGCAAGCAGAAGGGCTTAAATTTATGAAAAAAATCAATATTATTTTTATAACATACTAATCTATGTTTCCCTGATTTGTATGTTCTAGGGGACTCCTGAGAATTTTATTCTTTTGTGTTGTGTTCCTTACATCCATCTAATTTAGCTCACATTTTGTTTGTTCTCCAGAACTTAGCATATTGTTAGTCAACATATCACTTAGGGTTAAAAATAAACAAAATTTTGATATTGTGCATAGAATATACATAAAACTATTAGTGTTCCTGAGTCAGGAAAAGTGAGAGGAAGAGGGTAAAGCTATCTGGCAAAAGACAAAGGAAGAATGGGACATAAACACTAGTTAATGGTATTGTCCAATTCTGGGCTTTATTTGTAGACTAAATTAGAAAAAAATGAGAATTTTGAAAATATGATATATTTTCATCAGGTCTCTGTGGCTAAATTGTAAAAGATTGCCCATACAGGCCTTTATCACACTTGAAACAATCTATTCCCTCTTTTTTTTCTTTCCTCTTTTACCAAATTTTCGACAAGAAAATAAACAGCATTTTGTGACCAGAAATAGAGCAGCTGCCCCACAGGCCAGCAGGAACCCAATCACATCCAAAGAGTGGTACTGGAACCAGGTGAGGTTGTGAGCCGCTGGCCGCAGGTGTTTGGCTCCTCTGTGGCGCATGACAAACTCGATCCAAAAAACGGCTCGATCCAGGGGCTTTACAGGCTGATCATGGTGAATCCTTGATAATCTCATAGCATTCTCTTTATAACTGTAAACAAAGACATAGACAAAAATCAGAGCTTTTGTTTTCATTGAAGGTAAATATGTAAAACCTTTGCGTAGCATATTATATTGTGCAAAAGCCATAGACTTGCTGAGAATATATTTAATTCTTGCTGTGATGTGAACTTTGCTATTGTACAGCATTTTAAGAGTTGTAAAGGAGAGACTGTGGAAGAAATATATTTTTGACAAAATGTGGTCAAATATAAACATATATAAAAGGAATGAAGTTAATTTTTCAAGAAGGAACCTTAATATTGTTTGAAGTATGATTTTAACAATTGTTCTAAGACCAAGATTGTGTCTAACCCCTATTGCAGGAAAATATCCTTTAAAAAGTCTATAAGCATGGACCCTAATGTCTAACTAGTAAATAACGGCAGGCCGGGGAAACTGGTAGTTAACATCGATGAGTCATTTTTGCAATGTCTAGGATTCCTTCATTGCACACACTTAAGTTTTTGTGATAGAAAAGACATTGTCTATGTTGGCAATGTCAAAATTGGATAAAGTATTAGGGTAATTTCAGAAATGGAAAGGAGATGGAATTTGAGTTTTTGAGGTAATATAAATATTTTTCTAGAATTTGAGCCCCAAACTATTGTGGCATCACAGTGGTCATAGTTATAGATCTAATATCTCTAATGGTCTCTCAGACAACAATGGGCGTAGGTATATATTTGAAAGGCAGTTTATGTCTTCACTTGACATCTGGTAGTTGAGATGGAATTAGCACATATATTTTGGGGGGCAGGTTTGCGATAGAAATAAGTCCAGGAGACTCAGAGAGTCCCAAACAAGTTGGACCCAAACAGGCCTAAACTGAGACACATCATAATTAAAATTACAAAGCTTAAAGACAAGGGAAAAAAATCCTAAAAACCACAAGAGAAAAGCAGATAGTTACATACAAGGGAGCACCAATTAGACTGTCATCTGATTACTCAACAGAAACATTTCAGGCCAGAAGGGAGTGGTGAGAAATATTCAAAGCGAAGAAAAGCAAGAACTTACAACTAAGGCTACTTTATCCAGCTAGGTTATCATTTAAAATTGAGGAGAAATAAGGATCTTTCCAGACAAGAAAGAGCTAAAGGAGTTTGTTAACACCAAACCAGTACTGCAACAAATGCTAAAAGGTTTGCTTTAAGAAGAAGAAGAAAAAGAAAAAAAAAATAAGAAGAAAATAGTCTAACCATAAAATGGCAATAAATACATATCTACTAATAATCACCTTGAATGTAAATGGCTTAAGTTCTCTAATCGAAAGGCATAGGGTAGCTGAATTGATAAGAAAACAAGACCCATATACATGCTGTCTCCAAGAGACCCATCTCAGGTCAAAATATACACACAGACTACAAGTAAAGGGATGAAGAAAGATATGTCATGCAAATGCAAAGGAAAAAAAGCTGGGGTAGAAATACTTACAGTAACAAAATAAACTTTAAAACCAAGGCTATATTAAGAAACATAAAAGGCCACTACATAGTTGGTAAAGGGAACAATCCAATGAGAAGATATAATCCTAGTAAACATTTATGCACCCAATATAAGAACACCTGAATATGTGAAGGAAATCTTGATGGACATAAAGGGAGAGATCGATAGAATTACAATCAATAGTCAGGGATTTGAACACCCCATTGACTTTAATGGATAGATCTTCCAGAAAGAAAATCAACAAGGAGACAGCAGCCTTAAACAACACAGTAGATCAAATGGATTTAATTTATATCTTCAGAGCATTTCATCCCAAAGCAGCAGAATATGCATACTTTTCAAGTGCACATGGAATGTTTTCCAGGATAGATCACATGCTAGGACACAAAACAAGTCTCAATAAATTTAAGAAAATTGAAATCATATCAAGCATCTTCTCTGAACACAATGCTATGAAACTAGAAATCAATCACAAAAAGAACATTGAAAAACATGCAAAACCATGGAAGCTGACTAACATATTGTTAAACAATGAATGGGTCAACAATGAGATCAAGAAAGAAATCAAAAGATACCTTTAAACAAATAAAAATAAGGACACAACAACTCAAAATCTGTGGGACACTGGGAAAGCAATCCTAAGTGGGAATTTATAACATTATAGGTCTATTTCAAAAAACAAAACAAAACAAGAAAAAGCTCAAATCAATAATCTAACTTCACAGTTAAAAGAACTTGAAAAAGAACAACAAACAAAGCACAAAGAGTGTAGAGGGAAGGAAATAATAAAGATTAGAGCAAGAATAAGTAAAATAGAGTCTAAAAAAATAATACAGATCAATGAATCCAAGAGCTGGTTCCCTGGCAAGAAAAACAAGATTGACAAACCATTAACCAGACTCATCAAGAAAAAAACAGAGAGAACTTAAGTAAATAAAATTAGAAATGAAAGAAGAGAAATGACAACTGCCAACAAAGAAATACAAAGGATTGTAAGAAAGTATTATGAACAATTTTATGCCAACAAACTGGACAATTTGGATGAAATGAATAAACACCTAGAAGTATACTATTCCAAAACTAAATCAGGAAGAATCAAAGAATCTGAATAGACAGATTACAGTTAGTGAAATTGAAGCAGTAATCAAAAAAACTCCAAACAAACAAAAGCCATGGACTGGATGGCTTCACATGTGAACATCACCAAACATTCCATGAAGAACTAAAACCTCTCCTTCTCAAACTATTTTATAAAATCAAGAGGAAAGAAGGCCCCACACTCATTTTACAAGGCAAGCATTGTCCTAATTCCAGAACCAGATAAAGACACTACAAAGAAAGAAAATTATAGGCCAATATCCCTGAGGAATATAGATGCTAAAACCTTCAACAAAATATTAGCAAACCAAATATAACAATGCACCAAAAAATACATACACTATCATCAAGAGGGATTTATTCTGGGAATGTAAGGTTGGTACAACATTCACAAATATATAAATGTGATTCACCTCATAAACACAATGGAGTATAAAAACCACATGATCATATCAATAGATTCATAAAAATCATATAATGAAATCCAGCACCTTTTATGATAAAAATTCTCAGCAAAGTGGGATTAGGGGGAACATACCAAAACATAATAAAGGCCGTATATGACAAATCCACTGCCAGCATCATATTCAATGGGCAAAAACCTATAAGCATTCCCCTTAAGATAGGGAAAAAGACAGGGATGTCTGCTTTCACTTCTCTTATTCAGCATAGACTGGAAGTCCTAGCCAGAGCAATCAGATAAGAAAAAGAAATAAAAGGCATCCAAATTGGAAAGGAAGAAGTAAAACTGTCATTATTTAAAGATGACATGATACTGTATATAGAGAACTCCAAAGATTCCTCCAAGAAACTACTAGAACTGATAGGTTAATTCAGTAAACTAGCAGGATACAAAATTAATATACAGAAATCAGTTGCATTTTTACATGCCAATCATGAACTAAAGGAAAAGGAAATTAAGAGAAAAATCTTATTCACAATTGCTACCAAAAAAGTACCTAGGAATACATGTACCTAGAATGCAAAAGACCTGTACTCGGGAAATTGTAAGACACTGAAGAAAGACACAGAAGCAGGTACAACGAAGTAGAAGCATATACCACATTCATGGATAGGAATAATTAACATCATAAAAATGTCCATTCTAACCAAAGCATCTATAGATTCAACACAATTTCTATCAAGATTCCAATGATGTATCTCATAGAACAATAATAATAGTTAAAAAAACTTATATGGAATCACAAAAGGTCCTGCATAGCAACAAAGTTGGCGGAATCACAGTACCTAATGTGAAACTATACAAAAAGTCCATAGTAATCATAACAGCATGGTATTGGAATAAAAACACATGCACAGATCAATGGAACAGAATAGAGAGCCCAGAAATAAGCCCAAACCTTTATAGTCATTTAATATTCAATAGAGGAAGGAAGAACATAAAATGTGCTAAAGATAGTTTATTTAATAAATGGTGTTGGGAAAATTGAACAGAAACAGGCAGAAAAATGAAACTAGACCACCTTCATGTACCACACACAAGAATAAATTCAAAATGGATCAAAGACTTAAATGTTAGACCCAAAACCATAACAATCATAGAAGAAAACATAGGCAGCAAAATGTCAGATATTGTAGCAATATTTTATCGAATATATCTCCCCAGGCAAGGGAAACAAAAGAAAAAAAATTTGGAACTATATCAAACTAAAAAGTTTTTGCACAACAAAGGAAATTATCAACAAAATAAAAAGACAACCCAGAGAATGGGAGAACATATTCACTGATACATCTGATAAGGGGTTAATATCCAAAATTTATAAAGAACTTACAAATCTCAACACCAAAAAGCTAACAACCCAATTAAATAATAAGCAAAGGACCTGAATAGACTTGTCCATAGAGGACATATGGATAGCCAATAAACATATGAAAACGTGTTCAATGTCACTAAGCACCAGAGTAATGCAAATTAAAATGACAATGAGATATCATTTTATACCTGTCACAATGGCTATCATCAATAAATCAACAAAAAACAGGTGCTGGCAAGGATGTGGAAACAGAGTAACCCTTGTGCATTGTTGGTGGGAATGCAGATTGGTGCAGCCACTATGGAAAGCAGTATGGAGGTACCTCAAAAAATTAAAAATGGATCTGCCTTTTGATCTCATGATCCTACTTCTGGGAATATATCCTAAGGAACCCAGAACACTAATTCAAAAGAATATAAACATCCCTGTTTTCGTTGCAGCAGCATTTACAATCACCAAGATATGGAAGCAGCCCAATTGTCCATCAGTTGATGAGTGGATAAAACAACTATGGAACATTTACACAATGGAATACTACTCAGCCATAAAAAGAAGAAAATTTCACCCTTTGTTACAGTGTGGATGGACCTGGAGAACATTATGCTAAGTGAAATAAGCCAGTAAGAGAAAGACAAATACCATATGATTTCATTCATTGGTGGAATCTAATGAACGTACTGAGATAACAAGGAAAATGAGGGCAGACTCATAGATGGAGAGCAGGATGACAGCTATGAGGGGAGAGGAGGGAAGTAGAGGGATTGAGCAAAAAGGAAAAAGGACTCATGAACATGGACAACTGTATGGTGATTGCTGAGGGCGAGGGGTGTGTAAAGGGACGAAATTTAATGGAAAAAATACAATAAAAATGAAATCAAATTAAAAAGAACACAAATCTGATGTCTCTGAAATAGAGATTAAAAAATGGAACTGAAAGTAATTCTAATAAATAACATAAAGAATTTCCAAAAGAAAAAAGTATGTACTTTTTATTCTAGATTAACAATATTGAAAAGACTCACTACAATCTAGGGAATATTTTGAAAATAATTTATAAAGATCCATCATAAACTGTTTCTGAATTTTAAAAAAAATCATATTTTTCCATGTTGGAGAAAAAACAAGGAAATAGAAAAAATGATCAGATTGGCCTCAAAATCTACAGTAGCGTTTAAAGCTAGAAGACTATGGATAACTTTTACATACTTCTAACAAAAGAAAAGTAAGAGTTACGCATAATCATATAGATGTCATTCTCATATCAAGGCAGTAGGCAAGTATCACTAAACATGATCACAAGGAATTCAAAAACCATGAGTCTTCATTGAATGAAAATCCATATGATATATTCATTTAAAAATAACTGAAAATATTTTAGAAGACTCTCTGATTCAATGGAAAATTTGATTTTCTTAAAGTATTAAAAAAAGACAATAAAGGTGAAGAAAGTAAGTACCCTAAATATTGACAAATTAAAATTTTAAGTAATACAGATTAGAGATGAGATTGCTTCCATAGTGTGAGTTAAACTGGTATTGGCTAAAATTAAAACACTTAGTTAAAAATTAGCACTAAAAAAATAAACAAGCAAAACAAAAGCACTCAAAACTATATGTATATCTATTAATTCCTAACTTTGGTGAGATCTTTCAGAGAAAAAAAATTTAAGGTATAATTATATGTATCTAAAATTTAATTATAGTTTACAGATTCATTTCGATTAATCTTTAGCTAAGTCAGGTAAAAAATAAAATTTGTTTTAAAATTTATGCTATCTATATTTACAAAGAAGGGAACCAAAAAAAAAACCCCAGAATTTCTTTTATAAAATAATTGTATATTTATGCTTACATATTTAAATTTCAGCCACCTTCAAAATACCCTCCACTTGATGCAAGATACCTATCAAGACTTTCCACTGCTCAAAACAGTTATATATTCATTGATTTTGATGCATTTTAGTGCTTCTGCCATTTTTTGTTTTCTTTCTTCCACATGGGCAAAACATTTCCCTTTGAGGACTTTCTTCAACCAGGGAAACAAAAAAAGAGTCACTTGGGCCAATATCAGGGGATAGAGAGGGTGGAGCACAGGGGTCATGCCAGTTTTGGTCAAAAACTTCTGAACACAGTCTGTGAAGATGCACTCAAAAATCACCCATCATGAAATGGGCAAATGTGTGGAGTTTAAAAAAATAAAATAAAATAAAATTCACTAAAGCTGAAATCAGTCTCTCACAACAATGCCAGCTGGTAGACTGATACAGATGAGGCATCTGTAGCCAGGGAAGGATGTACTGCCAGGGGCCCACCCTCCAGAAAATAATTCCAGTTTTTTGGTGTACCCCCTCATATAAAGTTATAACTATTCTATTTCCCTGTATATATGCATATGCTAATGATAGTATGCACTCAGTGTTAATGACGGTTATTTTTGAATGATTAATATTTGGCAAATTTTCACTTCTATTTTTGTATTTACTGAACATTTATAATATTTAAAGATGGATGCATATTTATTAAAATAGCATAGGATCCAAAAATATTTGAGAATTTATATCATCAACATTTTTTTGAAAAAATGTTGATAGGCATTTGAATTCTGAGCGTTGTTTGTAATTTTAGCAAGTCACTTCATCAATTTGGGGAGTGAAATAATAAAGTGCTTTCTATATTAGTCATGTTATGTTTGTTATTTGAAAGTACACCAATTACAAATACACGAAACACTGGGCATCCTTGAATATGATGGGTAACATAATCAATGGTAATCCTTTCAAAAGCAGTAGTACTTACGAAGGATCATTAATGACTGTTCTCAAGGCGTTGAGAAAATCTGCACTTGTCATTGTGTTTATGTTCACCTCCACAGCTGCTCCTTTGGCTTTCATGTGAGCAATGTTATCATACTGATCAGCAAACATGGGAACTCCCACCATAGGGACCCCATGATAAATAGCTTCATAGATCCCATTTGTTCCACCGTGAGTGATAAAAGCTCTGGTTTTCGGATGACCTAGTTTGAGGGTCGGATGAGAAACAAATGAGGATTTCATTATATGTTAACAGGATTTCACAGAGAGATGTAGAAAAACTACAGAATAAATCTGTGAAGAAGGCAGTATTTTCTATAGAAACTGAACACAAGGGTGATTGCTACGCCAGAAAACTGTGATCTCAAGAAATGGCAGAATTAACTCCCTCTGCATTGTCTGGAAAGACTTTCCTGAGGAGGTAATATCTGAACTGATATTGAAATTTAAAAAGTAAAAAAAAAAAAATTAAAAAATAAAAATAAATAAAAAGTGATGAATGCTTTAACTGAAGATGCTCCTCTGTCAACCAAAGGAAGCAGGAATCTATAAATGGTCAATTGTTTAATTATATCTGCTATAAATTTAAAATATCTGCAGTATAATGTGAAAATTTTAAATTACTAAATGTTGCCCTGGCTGGGTAGCTCAATTGGTTAGAGTTGTCCTGATGTGCCAACGTTGTGGATTTGATCCTTGGTCAGGGCACATACAAGAATAAACTAATGGATGCATAAGTAAGTGGGGCAACAAATCAATATCTGTCTGCCTGCCTGTCTGTCTCTTTCTCTCTCTTTCTAAAAAATCAATAAATAAAAGAGTTTAAAAATTAAATGTTCATTATATTTAGTTGCTACTAGTTACTTAACTTCTTTATCATCCAGCTATATAGCTTTTTCCCCTCAGTCTTACCAAGAAGATCATTCTGGGGTATCCAATCATAGAGCCGAGTATTAGCTCCTAATGTGGCTGGTGTCTTTCCTTTGTATCTCCATAAAACCTGTGAAACAAAGTGTTTTAATTTTGCAAGTAAAAACACACAATTAAGGAATTTTAGTGCTGTAGAGTTATTTAAAAATCATGGAGCCTATTCTATGTGATATTTGAGAGGACTGTATAAAAGAGGTAGTTGGCAAACACTGAGAGATGCAGTAGGGAATTTACATCTACTTTTGAAAGGGCTTGTGCTCATAGTTAATTCAGTATATTATTACACCTTAAAGGTGATGTTTATCATTTAAAAGCTTAAAAGTGAATAAATAGAAAATAAATAAGACTAGTCAACCAGAGTTGGGAATTAAAAAACATTAAAACAAACATGAATGCTATGTAAATTTGTCAGAATGCCATCTTAGCACTCAAGTTTCAAATGCAATATTTTCCAAAAGTATAATTAGCTTTAGGTTTATTGTCTGTTTTTTTGACAATTAATTTCCTCCCTCCTTCCCTCCCTCCCTTCCTTCTTCCATTTTAGAAGGAGGATAAAATAGGACTTATATACCAATATTTAATTAAGTATCTTGTTAGGATGTTAAACTTTTGTTACATAATGTTTCTTTTGGGGGATTCCGTAAAACAAATTCCAAATTATTTACTAGTAGGTGGCAAACTCTTAACAGAAAAGCTTGTTAGAAATAAAAGGTTTTTAGAAATAAAAATCCAAAGTGTTAACAGACTTAATTTATATGCAGACTATCACAGAGTTTTATGTACTTTAACCAATACATAAATATATAGTGTCCTTGGATATTTCATGAATAGAAGCTGTTAAAAGTAACATAAATGCTCCACTTTGAAATGGAGTCAAAGCTGCTGTTTCAGAGCAATCGCCTTGTCTGTTTCTTCTTCAAACATTCTGAAGCTTTAAACTGGGCAAAATAACCTTTAGACTATGCCAAGAGTAATGTTATATTCCAAACAACTGTTTGCAGAGTTAACTGGAAAGCAGGCATCCTTCCTACTAAACTGAAAATTAAAGATATTTTTTAGAATTAGTACAACCACATGTAGCTAAAGAATCACTTAGCTTATTTGTACCTATAGAAATTTCTTTCTTGGTATATTAACATCAACAGAAGTTTCTTCTTTTTTTAATGTAATTATTCTCCTTTCCTCTTCATGAATACTCTTTGCCTTCACTTCCTAATCAGAACACTATATGGGTTTCTGTCTGAATCAATTCTCCTTTGATCTCAAACACTTGTTTCTCTCAGTTTGACCTTTAATTTTTTTTTTAGGTTAACAGAGTGTATACACACACACACACACACACACACACACACACACATATATATATGAAGAGTAGAAATCTAGAATTGTAATGACAACAAAATTAAAGTTAATTGAATATCATAAATTAAAAAATATATATTGTTTGACAATAATATGAGGATTTTGCATAGTTTTTAACTATAGAAAATCAATTTAGAAGAATAGGCTTCTACTTCTAAACCAACTACACTTTGACAGAGTCCTAATAAAACCTAGCAATACAAAGTATATTCTTGAGTAGGATTCCTTTCTATGTGCCTCTTTCCTTTCCTGGACTTTGGAGTTAACACACTTAAGAACGTCTAGGAGTAGTCATTGCAGGTAGAAAGATTTCAAATACTAAGAACTTATTAGGATTTTAACATTTTTATTTCCATTTCCTTGAAAATAAAAATAAAAAGATGTATTTCCACCCTGGCTGTGTAGCTCAGTTGGTTAGAGCATTGTTCCGATACTCCAAAGTTGCAGGTTTGACCACCAGTCAGGATACATGAAAGAATCAACCAATGAGTGCATAAATACGTAGAACAACAAATTGATTTCTCTCTCTCTCTCTCTCTCTCTTTCTCTCTCTCTCTCTTTCTCTCTTCCCCCACCCTCTATTCCTCCTCTCTCTAAAATCAATCAATATTTTTTTAAAGTTGTATTTTTATAGTATTGCAAAGGCTCCGTAGACAAATTATCAAATGTGCCTAAATTTAACATTTTACTGTTTTAAGAAATTTTTACTTAAAGGTGGTGTCAGTCACGCTCAACAGATAAAGAGTTTGAACTTTCATCTGGAAAGAGTACTCTCTGTAATTAGTAAAATGGCTGCTTACTGGGGTGGTATGTTGCACTAACCTTCTGTGGAATCTGAGCAAAGGCTGAGGCAATGAGATTGGCTTTTTGTTCTGGGAGGTTTCTGACCATTGATCCCAGAGAAAACACCACAATACCATGTTCACCTGAACTTTGGACAAATTCTTCCATTTCCTGCAGAAATAAAATTATCACTGTTATGTAAGTACAGGATTACAGGTAAATTTTCAGCTACATTTCTAAATAATCAGGGTCCAGAGAAGAGTCAGAGACATTGTTAGACTGGTTCTGTGTTTTACCACGCACCATCTAGATCTTTAAGAGACGATATGTTTCTGAAAACTATGGTTAATATATATAATAAGAGGTTGTAAATAAAGGCATGGAATCAAATCATTATACCAAATGAATAGATAATAAAAGGCAGATCTTCCCATGGTAAATGGAATTGTTACTCTTAAGGTTTCTGCATTTTGCTGTGTTTAATGCACACCCACGTTTTTTGTGTGCATTATACATGGGATTATTACACTCATTATTATATTCATGATATGTAACCATTCTAGCCATGTATAATGCACATCCTTATTTTTCCCTCAAAAATTTGGTCAAAAAGTGTGCACGATACATAGCAAAAATTATATAAACCAACAGAATTGTTTGCAAACCTCTAAAAATGTTCGTTTGATGGAAGCTCCACACCCTCCCCACCCACAAAGTGTTTAGAACTAGGCTTTATATATTTTTCAGCATGCCAGTTTACAGCTAATAAATTATTAATGAATTGATCCAACTTTTTGTTAGGTATTTAGGGTATTTTCCTCATATTTATTCTTTCCTTGATTCATAGGGCTACAAAGATTTTTTTAAATGGGATATTTAGTAATATGTTTAAAAGGTGACAACACAGTTAAACTTCTGCTACGATCATGATAACATCTATTATGAGACAGTGATTCTCTTCTCACACAAGTGTGATACAGACTGCATGTCCTTAAGTCGAGCCTTAGCATAGAAGTAAAATATAATTTCCTCTGCAAAATAAAAATTCTCTTGTTTATTGCTTGCAGTTGTGCCGTTGAGCACTGCAAAATGCAGAAACCTTAAAAGAGTAACAGTTCCATTTACCATGGAAAGATCTGCCTTTTATTATTGCTGGGATTGGAGTCTTTTACATCAGAATCTATGTGCATGTCACCCTCTAGACAGGTGTCATGCATTCTCTTTGTAACTATTCTTGGTTGCCCTGAAATCATTGATGTTTCCCAATGTACAGCTAGTAAAATTAGTAGGGGAAAGATGATGCCATAAATGTAGACTACTGTTTTTATCTTAGTTAATGTTAGGAGAATATCTCTCAAGTCCCAGGATTTAGTAGTTTTGCTTAAACAGATGATTGAATTAAAAAAAAAATACAGCGCACGCACACACTGTTTAAGGGCTTATATACCTATGTGTTAGATTTGGATTCTTGATTTGATTGCCTCACATTGCTTTTTTATTCTGTGTATTCAGTGTCTGGCATAATTCTTTCATCAGATATAAACCATGATTAGTATTCATGTTGCTTAAATCTTTATATTAATAATAAGGTTTGAAATGGAATAATTCTCTTCTCGTAAATAAAACATGTCTGAGTTGTTTTGTGAAATTGTGAAAAACATAATAGTGTGTCAAGATATTATGCAGTGACCCACAGATTATGTCATGTCTCTTACTCCACTGTTATTTAGATATTAGTTCATTATTTCCTGTAATAACACTCAATAAAGTTTGCCTGAAGCTGTATTTGGCTGGTGAGAAAACCACATTCAGCCCTGGCCAGTGTGGCTCATATGGTTGGAACGTCCTCCTGTAGACCAAAGGTTGTGGGTTTAATTCCCCATCAGGGCATGTACCTAGGTTATAAATTCAATCCCCACTTGGGGAGCCTGAGAAGGCAACCAGTTGATGTTTCTCTATCATATTGATGTCTATCTCTCTCACTCTTTCCCTTCCTCTCTCTCCCTCCCCCCTTTCCTCTCTCTCTAAAAGCAATGAAACAATGTCCTTGGGTGAGGATTTTTTAAAAAACCGGCATTCAAAGTCCTGAAATGAAATTTTAAACATAAATACGTATGTTACTTGAATCATAAATCAAGAATTCTACTGGGAACACAACTTAACTTGCAACATTTTACAGAGATTATGTTGCTTACTTAAAACCCCAGGCAAATGAGTGTTTCCTGACTCCCTATTAATATAGTTAAATACAGTGTTATTATGTTTACCCATTATTCTCTTTTACTTCTCTATATTGTTTTCTTCCAACACTTTTGATAGTCCACATTTATTCTTTTATAACTTTGGAATGTGTTACAAAATGTCTTTCTTTCATGCCCCCCCTCCAAGACGCTCCCCAAAAAACCCCCTGACATCATGGACATAAGGAACCAATTCAACATTTGGGCCTTTCAGTTCTATGACTCCTACTTCATGTTGATGACTCCAAATCTATTTCTAATGCCCTCTGCTGGGTCAGAAGTATTTATTACCCACACAATTTGTAGAAATCTCCAACTGAAAATTTCTTTGGACCTTTAAAATGAATTTGAAATTGAACTTATAATTGTCCTCTCAAAAAGTGTTTCCATTAATTGTTTCTAACTTCAGTAAAGGCCGCTGCTATCCAAGAAGTTGTTTCTGGTTCTGTGTCTTCTGACAATATATACTTCCACTGAGCAAATCCTGTGGAATCTATCCGACAGTTCTCACGAAAACCTCTTTATTACTCAAACAACCATAGTAACTATTACTATCCATAATACCACCATGCTCATTAAGATGACCACAGCAGTTTCCTCACTGACATTCAAGGCTCTAGTTTCCTATCACTTCAGTCTAGTACCCACACTATAGACATGCTCATATTTTTAACATGCTTATTATATCACTTCATTCTTCAGCTTAAATATCAAAGTGAAGTCTAAAAGAGGAATATCATTCATAAGAGATCCTTATGGCTTGGAAAATTGATGTGGAGTAGCAAACTGAAGATACTCAGTAGCACATATCTGTTATTTAGGCTCTAAAATTTAGAGGAAAATCAGAATGTTTATCATGGGTGCAAAAAGTCCTCCAGCATAATACACCTACCTTAGGTAACGGTTTGGCAGGTTTACAATGCAGTCCTCCTACAAACTGAAAATTAGGTAAGTATGGACGAGGAAATTCAAAATCCCAATATGTACGCATAAGCCAAATTTCTGCTTTCCCCATAGTCTCACATAATGTAGTGGGTTTTCCTGAAGAAAATAAAGTTTGGGGCATATTATTAGCTTATGTATTTTTAGAAAAATAAACATACCACTAATTTGCTGATATGCTATTAAGGAAACAATAAATCTAGGTTCTCTAGATTACTTACATGTCTAGATTTTAAAAAGAAGAGGAATTTGAAGTCATAAGGAAGGGAAGGGAGCGGGGAGGGAAAGAGAGAGGGAGAGAGAGAGAAAATTTGGGTAGTGAAAGAACAGTAGTGTATGAAATAATACATGCAATAAAATAAATTTTATAAAATCAAAATCAAATAAGAATGGATAAAAATAAATTAAAAAAATGAAATCAATAAAAAATTTAACCACAACTCCAAGTACTGATAAATTCAACACTCATTGTTTCCTTCCAATTAAATGGCAGTGTCAGAAAAGCCCCATCATATTAGCACCAAATAACCTCTCAATAGTTTTCTAGATTCCTGTCAAGAAAGTATTTCTACATTTTAGCTCATTATACTTTCTCATTCATTCATATTGTTGAAGAATTCCACCAATATCAGTTTACCTTATCTTCCTGAGTCAAATTCAATTACTTTGATTGATTTGCTTTTTTTTTCTGAAGCAAGAATTTCCTGAGTAATTCATATCCACTACAACTCCATTTGGAATATGAAGTACACATTACACATTACCAATATCAATACTTATTTTAGTGTTATCTTTAAATGATATTTTATGAAAGGGGAAGATTATAAGTATTAATTGTGGGAGATTTGTGGAGAAGTTTTTGCATTTACACACAGAAAACATGTTTTCCATCGAAGTTAAAAAAAAAACTCAGAGAATCAAGACGGCGGAGTGAGTGGAAGTCACGCTGACCTCCTCCCAGGACCAACCTGGAATTATAACTAAATCGTGGAGAAATCACCTGGAACAAACAGCTGAACAATAATAAGAGAGTAACCTTATTACCTCAGACAGACAAAAGAATCAGCTTTAGCACAACCTAACTGGTAAGGAGTGCGGTAGAGACTCGAGAAAGCAGGCAGGGTGCCCAAGGGTGGCAGCACCAGAAGGATATTGAAACGGCCAGTTGGATCCCCATGAGAAGAGTGGGTTCTAAACCAAAAGTGGGGATATCCAGCCTATAGTCCCAGAGCCCAAAAGGTGCACAGATAACAACCAGCTGTGAAAAGCAGCAGGGTTGCTCTCTGCCAGAGACAGGCGGCTGGAGATGCAAAGAGCCGTTTAAAGGGCCAATGCATACATTTTTATTTGCAGCCACTTACCCTGGTCTCAGGCAAATGCAGGGGTAGAGTGGGCTAGAGATGCCTGAGGAAAGACTGGGGGAGGAAGCTTTGGGGAGAGAACTGAGAGAGTAGTCGGCGGGATCCTGGTGCTGACTCATTCCCCAGGCAGCAACAGCCATCTTGCTCAGGCAAGAGACCCCTCCCCTGAGTGGCAACAGGTGAGAGGACAAAATAGCCCTGCCCCCAGGAGGGACTCGGTCCTGCTAAGTACAGAGAGGCAGCACAGATAGTAGATTGCTGATTAAAGTGGGTGCAGAGTGGTCTAGAGACTCTTGAGGAGAAACTGGAGATGAAAGCTTTGGGGAGAGAACGGAGAGAGTAGCTGGCGGGAACCCGGTACTGACTCCTCCCCCATACAGCAGCAGCCATCTGGCTCAGGCAGACCACGCCCCTGAGCAGCAGCAATGTGACAGAACCCAATCACCCCTCCCTGAGGAGGGACTCTGCCCCAACCTGTGGTGTCTCTCAGCTGGCCTGCTGAGTGCAGAGTGACTAGATTAATAGCTGGAGGAGACAACCACAGGCAGTAGATTCCTGCAAGTCTTGAACAGACTGCCTAAGGTCACACAGGGTCAACAGCTGACATCATCAGAGGCAGATCCAGAAAGAAAAAAACAGCAGTCTCCCACCCTAGGAGTTCACATAACCAAAGTCAGGAAATCAAGATAGATCAATTTAAGAAGCAGAAGTAAAAAAGAAGAGTCTCACAAATAATGGGAAGACAAAGAAACCCCCCCAGTCAAAGGGAAAGGAGGAATCCCCACAAAAAGAAATAAATGAAATAGAGTCAAGTAAACTCTCACATATTGAGTTCAAAACAATGGTTCTAAGGAAGCTCAATGAGCTCAGTGAGCTCAGAAAGAACTACAAAAAACTACAGGGAAACTACAAGGAACCTACTGCAAATTATATCAGCATGAAAAAGGACATAGAAACTATCAATAAGAGACAAAAGTAAATGAAGAACACAATTTCTGAATTGAAGAACATGGTAGAATGAATCAAAAGCAGGTTAGATGAAGGAGAGGATCAAATCAGCAAGATGGAGGACAAGGAAGAAAAAAGCTCCCAGAGAGAGCAAGAAAATGAAAAGATACTAAAAAAGAATAAAGAGGCATTTAGGGAAATACAGGACAATCTGAAACATAATAATATATGTATAATAGGGATGCCAGAGGAAGAGGAAGAGGAGCAAGGAATAGAGAACGTGTTTTAAAAAGTAATGATGGAAAACACCCCTAATGTGAGCAGAGAAAAAGTCACACAAGTCCAGGAAGTACAGAGGGTTCCATTCAAGAGCAACCCATGAGGCCCACTCCAAGACACATCATCATTAAAATGGCAAATATCAGACAGACAGAGAATCCTAGAAGTAGCAAGGGAGAAACAGGTAGTAACATTTAAGGGTGCCCTGACATGGCTAGCAGCTGACTTCTCAACAGAAACACTACAAGCCAGAAGGAATAGCAAGATATATTCCAAGAAATGAGAAGCAAAGGCCTGCATCTAAGACTGCTCTACCCGGCAAAGCTCTCAATTAAAATAGAAGGTGAAATAAGGAGTTTCCCAGACAAACTAAGGCTGAAAGAATACACCTCCACCAAACCAGTATTGCAAAATATGCTAAAGGGACTGCTTTAAGAAGATGAAGAAATAGAATCTATGAATACCCAGTTCCTTTCACAGTCATCAACACTTGATATTACCAATATTCTTAATATTTAATCTGATTATGACAACGATGTGTTATTTTAATTGTTACTTTATTACTTGTTCAAACTAACCCTGTTATTTCTTGCCTATTTCTATTATTTTTTTTAAAAAGCTTTAAATGACTTTTTGGTATTCTTTATCCATTTTTTGATTAAAAGGTTGTAGAATTTTTTCCCTAAAAAAAAAAAAACCCAAACACTATTAACCCTTTTTTAGATGTGTTGCATATACTTTCCTATTCTATTACTTGTCCTTTAGCTTTTTTTATATGTATATTACTATATAGTCTTAAATGCTTAATATAGTCATATTGTCAATAACTTACTTTATACATTCTGGGTTTGAATGTTACTTCAGGGTAAGAAAAATATTAGTTTGTATTTTCTCCTAAAACTCCTTAGATTTTACATATTGATTTTTAACTCACCTGAATATTATTTGTATAATGTGTGAAATAGAGCTCTATATTTGTTTTATTTCAAGTAATAGTGGTCCATGTACCTTATTTGTTGAATAAGCCTTATTTTTCCCATTGATTTCAAATATCAATTTAATCATATATTACATTGTTAAATATATACATTTGTTTCTACAATGTTCATTTTATTTCATTGATCTACTTGGTCATTTCTGTGCTGATGTCATGTTGTTTTAATTGCTGAGACTTTATAATGGATTTAAATTTTTTAACATTTTACAATGGATCTTGACATTTAATAATAAATAAATAAAATCAATCTGCATTTTAAAAAAAGGAAAGAAAGAAGGGACTCCAACCTTTTGGGACAACATGGATAGAACTGGAGAATATTATGCTAAGTGAAATAAGCTAGTCGGTGAAAGACAAATACCATTTGATCTCACCTATAAGTGGAATCTATTCAACAAAATAAACTAATGAACAAAATAAACCACAGGAAAGGAAACATGGAGCAGAATGAAAGTGACCAGAGGGGAAGGGGAAAGAGGTCAGTGGTGGAAAGAAGGAGAAGGGACTAGACAAAGAACATGTATGAATGATGCATGGACATGGACAACAGAGTGGGGAATGGACTATGGGAGAGGGAGTGGGGTGGGATGGATGGGAAGGGTGAAGTGGAAAAAACTGAGACAACTGTAATAGAATAAATGTGATTTTAAAATAAAAAAATTAAAAAAATAAAAAAACTCAGATGACATTCCTCTTTTCTTGAGGATTCTAATCAAAATTGGTGATCATACACACCCCAGGTTAGATAGCCCCTTTTTAGTCATTACTCTGCAGTGTTTAAATATGTGTCTGAGGTTATATATTCAACTGCTTTAATTTGCTAAGAAAGAAGCATTTCACAAAGATACTGAGCTTGAAATTGCTCAAGATTGGATGAGAACACCACCTCACAGCTTTCATACCAAAATATTTATGTCCTTTAGATGTCTTGTTCCATTTGTGTGACATCCTGCTTTGATTACCAACTCCCTGGGTGAAATTATTATGCATAACCTGTAGACCACTTCTAGTGTAGTCACACACTAGTGTAGTCCGCTAAAATTCTAATTTGCAGCAGTGACCCACAATATCAAATATAAAACCAATTGAAAGTGAAGAGAATAAAATTGAGCAAAAGTACGCACCAGAGAAACCCTGGTCTTCTTGCCAACGCAGGGAAGAATTACAGGTCAGTGAGCCTGTGAGCATGCACGCAAAGTTTATTAGTGCTAAATTCTAATGGGAGAGCAACAAGAGCGGGGTGGCCAAAGCAGGGTGGCCAAAGCCAAGGTGGCCAGGGCCCCTCTCTCCCCTGTGTGGCAAAAAGAGACAAGAAAAGAGAAGAGCCCTATTCCTTTGTTCTGAGGACTTCCAGTTGGAAGGGTGGGGATGAAGAAGTTATATATTGATTGATGGGTAAAGGTGGTGCCAGCTTCCCCGGGGGAGACATGACTATCCAAACATAGGCATGGGTGCGGGTCTGTTAGCTCAAATCATTATCTTGTTCCAGACTCTATCTGTTCATTTTGTATATA